TGGTCATGTACAAACTTTTAAGTTTCGCCCATAACCCTGATGTCGTCGTCTCCTTTAATACTTGTCAAAGAACCTTATCACCAAGACTCAATAATATTGCGTTGTGGGCTTTCTCTATCAAGGTCGTCTTTTCCTTTTTTGTTAATGCATCATCCATGGTTGCCAATCCCTTCAACACTTCTAAACAACCCTACTGAACCAGTAGGGCTTTCATCTTCAAGCGCCACAGACTAAAATTGCTCATTCTGGTGAACTTTTCAATCTCATACTTTTTCAAGGCATCTTCTCCATGATCATCGCACCAATTTGTCATGAAATAGAATACCTTTGAAACAAAGTATAACAAGGTTCTTTAAGGCAAGAAACCCACAAGGATAAAAAAGAATGAAAAACACGAAGAACAACAAGGATTGGTTATTAACTGCTATTATTTACTTTCTCTTCAAACAAGATTACAAGTACACGAGAATAATAAATAACCCTCTAAACCTAACTTAGGATTTGTAGTATGCAATGATGAGAGACTAGTATGCTATTTATTATAAACCTAACATACTAAACTAATGGGTTTTTTCACAAATACCCATTACAAGATAACTTAGGGTACAAGCTAACTTAAACAATTTTACATAACAAACAGTCCTAATTCAATGCTAACAATCCTAGCATTCTTCGACATCTACACACTAGAACACATTTCGACTATAACATGTAATTCTTCGACACCAGCATGTGAACAACCTTTGACTTCATGCTACAACTTTGTTGAACTATCGAAACCAAGAACCTATCCTTCGACCTAATACAGTTTGATCCAATATCTCACATACTATAAAAACAATCATTAAATAGATTTTACCATAATCCTAACTTATATGTTACCGCCCCAAACTCGTACACATCATTCTTTGGGATGAATTGTAGGACAGAAAAAATCTTCAATGTTCTTCTATCCTTGAACAAAACATTTTTCCTCCCTTGTAATTTATCTCACATAATGATGTTAATGTTGTTGTTGTTGTATTTTTTGAATAATGCTCAGTTAAAGAATGCTATAAAAATTCCATATGATAGATTACAAGTGAAGACAGTCATTCTTGCTTCAGGTTAAACAAAGAAGGATGTTCAATCTCTAAAAAGATATATGCAACAAAATCTGGAATTGCAGCGACGATGATGAATATGGATTTTTTTTTAATATTTTGTGTAAACAGTGTAATGTTTAAAAAAAAGATTATTCACCTCGGTTTGCTTCTAAAATCGAGGGGTAAATATATTTTACCTCGGTTTCTGTCAAAATCGAGGGTATAATTTTGGCATGATTATTGAGGATAATATTGATCGTCATTAATCAAATCTTTGTTGTCCATATCATGACTATCAACGCTCAAGATAGAACCATTAGTGATCCGCGTGAAACATAAAAAAATCATTATAAAAGCATTCTAAATATCAAAAAGAGCATTCTGAATATCATTGTGAAGCATCATGAAGTGCTTGAAACAATCCACATCCACCACCTTAAGGTTTGCCATGAAAAGATCTCTATGATGAAGGTGTGAAAAACACAAGAAATAGGGTTTGAATTGGGTTTTAAACCAAACTTTTCTTTTAAAAAATATTCCCCTTTAATTAAAAATATTTTTCTCCACTCATGATAATAAAAATAATTAAGAACGGGAAGTAAAGAACAAGGTATGTTTACATTAGTTCACTTGAAAACTATCAAGCTAGTCTAGTCCACCCGCCAAGGTGATTTCGCCTTATCAACAAGGACTTAATCCAATAATCCAACTGATTATTACAATGCACAAGCTACCCGCAAGTGACTAACAATAACTTCTAAGACATACTAGTCTTAGACTTCTTAAGGATATAGACCTAACAGGTCCCTTAAGGAAAATCAAATCTCTAAGAGACATTAGTCCTAAACTTCTCAAAAATACTGACTTAACTGGTCTCTTAAGGAAATCAAACAAATTTTTTAATACAAGTTTTGTTTACAAGAATATTGCTTCTACATAAGTTGAATACGTAAACTATTTTAAGAACAATGACTTAAGAACATGAAAGCTATGAAAAGTGCTTTGTGCATGAATAATTAGTGAATTGGAAGCTTTCTCTCTTAGTCTTCAAGCCTTTATATAACCAATAAAATAATATATTCATTGAGGGATACTCTTGGGATTTCCAAAAACATTGGCGCCTTGAGCAGTAATGTGGAGGATAAGACTGTGTGACGCGTCTTTCCTTTCATGGTAGTGGAATGAAACGTTGATTGTACCATCTACTATTTATACCATGTTAGCGTTATCTTCTTTCCTTCTACACTTCAGAGGCTACTGCGAGCATGAGTTTAGAGGCGAGAACATAATACAAGGTCATCAGAACTTCAAGTCTTCAGAGTCTTCAGAACTGCGTCTTCAGAGTCTTCAGCACTTGGTCGTGAGAACCTTTTCTAGAACCTTGGGTCTTCAGAACTTCAAGTCTTCAAAGTCTTTAGAACTTCTGTCTTCAGCACTTGGTCTTTAGAATCCTTTTCTTAGAACCTTCGGTTTCATAACTTCAAGTCTTCAGAGTCTTTAGAACTTATGTCTTCAGAGTCTTCAGTACTTGGTCTTTAGAACCCTTTTCTTATAACCTCGTGTCTTTAGAAACTTGAGTCTTTAGCATCTGGAATTAAGTAGAACTTCTGCCTTCAGATCTTTTGACTGGTTTCTTTAGAACACGTTGTCTTTAGAAGCATGAGTCTTCAGCATCTGGACTTAAGTAGAACTTCTGTCTTCAGATCTTCTGAAGGTTTCTTTAGAACACGTTGTCTTTAGAAGCATGAGTCCTCAACATCTGGACTTAAGTAGAACTTTTGTCTTCAGATCTTCTGACCTGTTTCTTTATACAAACATCAGAGCATACACTTCAGAAGCTTCTAGAGTATCTTGCTACTGTTCATCATAACTTGTGTAGCGCAAAAGAGGAACTAATTCTCTTCTAATGTCTTGGTCGCGCCATCCATCAGAAGCAGAACCTGTTTGTTAAATACTAAAAAATAATAAACATTAGAGTATCAAAATTGTTTATTCAAACATACTCATTTGTTATCATCAAATCTCAGAGATGATATTGCAGAACCAAATCTTGTTTTAACATATGACGGATTACAAGAGCAGAAAATTATTTGGATTTAAGGTTTGTGTTCTTATATATTTATTTGAACAAAAAATCATTTATTTCTCTAACACTTTTTTGTTTTATTTCATAAACAAATGCATACAAAAGCAATTGAAAATATCATGCATCGAACATTTGATCTTCCTCAAAATGAGATGATTTGAAGATCTAAATTCTAAATCTTCAGGGAAATTAATTTTTTTGTGTATACAATGTAATATTATGGGTAAACAATGTAGTTTGTAAATAAATTAATTTATTAATATTCTGTATAAACAAGGTAATGAGTTTATGACCCAGGGGTTAAAATCCCCTTTTCTCCGTTTAAGGCAGAGGTTTTAAAGGTGATCAACGTCTCCCCATCCCATATCAAGCCCAACAATTGAAGCTTGATTTGGGAATTTGGGATGATATGCTGACAACTAAGGGTTCATCTTACCATAGGAATGCTCTTCTCCTTCTATGGCACCAAGATGAGCGTTGTAGGGGGTTGGGTGACCCTAGACGCCTTGCTTGGGAAAACCGTGTTCATACCATATTGCAATCATTAGAAGAATTAGAAGGGTAAGTTTGCAAGGGTGGGGGTACGAGATGACTCCTCTATTGTCACTATTGGGATGAATGATGCCCCTCGCTTCTCTCTAGTTGGGACAGATAATCCAGTGGCAATCACTAGGTATGAATTTGACTACCTCACACCTTATGAGATGGAGGTGGTCCAACTCTTGGATGAATTTAAGGTCATGAGTTATTATAAATGATCGCCTTGGACCAAGGGGATGATAATGACATGGACAAACATATGAGTAAGTTTGATATCGCAATGGCCCTTATTTGGGATTTTTTGTTTGTCAAGTAGCACATATTTTCCCTTCGTCTTTTTGCTGATAAAATGTTGAAATTTTATTTGGCTGAAACGAATGAGTGTCTGGTCAAGAAAAAAGACTAGGCGCCCAGAAATAAGTAATCCTCAAAGTCACCTAGATGACTTGAACCCCAAAAAGACCAAGAGGCACGTCGAAGGTGACGCCCCTAACCCCCTAAAGTCCATAAACATGATTTGGGACCTACCCCCGCTCCAAAGTGTAAGGCAACCAAGATCCCTAAAGAAGATGGGACTAGTGAGCATCCATCGTCTGCAAGGAACGACCTGCCTTCTTAGTCCTCTATGTGGAATTATCCCACTTTTGACGCAATAAAATTCACTAGTGTCTGTCTTCCCTTCCATGAAGATTTCACATACGACTATAAGGTCACCTTTAACATAACACATCTCAAGTTATCTGACCTAAAGGACAACCACTTGCTGAGGATCTTGTTAATGGAGTGCCATGATCGAAAAAAGCACGCCCAAATTGAGAGTGAGCTAAAGTCGAAGCTCGCTAACTCCTAAGAAAATCTCGCCAAAGGCCAAGTAATGGAGGAGACCTTAAAGAAAGAGAACGAGACTTTAGCAGTCAAACTTAAGGAAGCAAATTAGAAATTAAGCCTTAAAACGAGTTACACTTATTTAAGTCAAACCGGCCCCTCTATAAATAATGATTACTAATTATTTATAAGAATCAAATAAATTGTTTATTCAAACGTATCTTAATTAGAATAAAAAATATATACAGTATTTTTATCTTTGTCTATTCTTATTTTATTGTTTATAAAATCATAATATAGTTGTTAAAACTTATTTACACCTTATGGCACCTTAATTCCTCGTGGCTTTGTTCTTAATAACTAAAATATATAATACACTAGCAATTATTTACTCCACATAACCTGTGAAAGTGGAGATGGTTTAGTTAGGGTGATTGATTATTTATCTTACACTAGTCTTATAGTTGGAAAGTGGAAGTGAGGATACCATCATGTCATGGATGACGGGTGCACAGACTCAATCGAAACATATGGATGAAACAGAGCCTAGAAAGCGAAGATTGAGGAGACGATTACACGTTGGCTCATTTAACATAATACAAATTTTATATCTGGTTCAACAACCAAAACTCATTATACTGCATATGATTTTTGTCTTTACCTCATTAGACGTGACAGCACTCAAAAGAAAAAAAGAAAAACCATTTTCTTGCTTGATGGAAGAACATTTCCAAGGTCATGAAGAATTAGTGCTTCCCAAAACTGTACAGCAGGTAGATCCTAAGATATACAAATATATGGATCCCCATGTAGATGATTATACAACAACAACTTTATGCAAATTAAATACCAAAAAATAGGAGAAACACAGAAAAAAAATTGAAAGCCATGCCAAAAAGATGTATCAAGGCCTAAATCATTCTTTATCTCATTATAGGATGCCAAAATCAAATGAAACTGATGATTATTTGCTCCTAAATAATAAATCCATTGAAAGTCCAATTGTTGATGGCTTGAATGGCCGCATAAATTTCCATGATGAACCCATTCGAGACTCTTCTTTTTTAGTCATTGTCCCTTTGTGAAGTCCTGTACTGTCATGATTTCTTGAAGATCCAGAGGATTTCATATTGAATATCCCTGAACTAAAGGATGTGTCTGGGGCACCAAATGAAACAGGCCCTTTACTTGATGAATCTTGTGGATATCCAACAGCTCCGTCTTGATGAGGAGGTGGAAATTTCTCACTCTTGCTTTTTCCATTTGCGTGGGTCACAACTCTCCACCTCTGAAATTCAGTGAGACACACATGTCATGTTTGCTCAAGACAGAATATAAGACATTATTTTAATGAAAAGCTCGATTCACTATGAGAGCATCATCAAGTCAACCAAATTTCTCACAAAGTTCAATGTCTTTCAATCAAAAGAAAACAAAAAAAATCACCTTTAAATATAAGGATAGACATGATCAGAGAATCTCATGTAAACAAATGCTTAAGAATCTAAGTCACAAGTTCCAGGTGACATTATGATTTATAAATACGAGTGATAAGATTTCATGAAAAGGTACTTAAATTAGCCCTGAGTGTATGTCAGTACATGACTTTAACTTTAAGGTACTTAAAGAGATTCACTATTCATGAAAGTGTGTGACATGCTAGAGCTTGGGTTGAAGAAACAGGAAACTAAATTAACTACAGACAAATAACATATGCTACACAATAAAAATTACTAGTGTAAGTATGAGTGTAAAAGACAAAATAACTATATGTTTGACTTACATCTAAGTTTGTTTGGATCTCTGCATTGGCTTCTGGGGCCGGCATGGCACGACCACGCTCCCGTGCTCTGACTCTTTTACCACCATCGCCTGCATTAGCTTTTCCATTTAGTGCTTTTTGCCTGAGATTGAAATGAAAATCACATGAGCAACTGAACAGAGTGAATCAAGAAGTTAAATACGAAAAGGAATAAGATAACCTTCTAGCTTCTTCATCTCTCATTTTTACATCCAATTCTTTGCTAGGAGGATACTTTGGCAAACTCGACGGTTCACAAGCATAGGGCTCAGTGGTAAAAAACTGCAGATAGAAAACAAATGTGAATGGTGTTGCATCTAAATTCTCAGATGTAAGGTTAATATACAGGGATCACTTACTTCATGATTTAGAGCAGCTGAGGCAGTGCTGCGGCCATCAGGATCGATTGCAAGAAGAGTTTCAATTAGAGGTAGTGAAGATTGAGGAAAATCCTTGAATGTTTCTGAGATACAACGTTTATATGGCTGCTGTGGCTTAAAGATAGTAGCATTTGGCAATTTATACTTCCTCCAGTATTCCTCAGCTGGAGAGCCACATAATTTAAAGATTTTGTGTAGTTGTTCAACCTAGCCCCAAGCAACCTAATAGTCAGTAATACAACATACTGAAAAATACACATTTCTAGAGCAAAAATAAAAGACATCCCAAAGAAGATAAAGGAAATTTGAGAGGTTATACTGCAAACCAAAAATATTTGTAGCATAAACTGAATATCATTGCCCTAAACGGAATGGTTTTCATTTTCTGTAATTTCTTTTTAATCCATCTCTCTTCAGCATGTCTTCTTTATTCAAAGTTCATTACACAGCCCAACATAAGCCTCTAACTTACCCAATTTGGTTGGTGTCTAGAAAATATTCCAATTAAATGGTCAGAAAAATAGATGTTGCCTGCACACAAGACCTCAAAAGTGATACTCCTTAAGGAACAAGATGAACAACAAGCAAACTACTAAACCAATTACTTGAAATATTTGAAAACAGATGAAAGCATCACAATTAGGATTTATAAAACAAGATGAAAAGCAATACCTCTGTTCGACCAGGCATGATTGGCTTCCCGGCAAGCAGCTCTGCCAAAATGCAACCAGCACTCCAAAGGTCAATACCCACACCATAAAATGTAGCTCCAAGAAGAAGCTCAGGGGGTCGATACCAAAGTGTCACAACTCTACTTGTCATGCACTGCTTTTGCTTAGGATTATAAAAAGTTGCCAATCCAAAATCTGCAATTTTAAGGATTCCTTCGTTGTCAATAAGCAGATTGGAACCCTTGATATCACGGTGCAACACACCTCGACTGTGGCAATGCTCAAGACCAGAAAGTAATTGCTTCATAAAGCATTTGACCTGTCATAGAGAAGACACTGAGAGACAATTTAGCCTTTCAGTATGGCTTGTCTTTTAACATTTTATCATGATATGACCAATTCTTTCTTCCATCTAGTCCCACTCTCACTAATGATTAAAAAAGTAGCTCTGCTTCACATGACTTCACCAAGCATTTAATGTACGAAACAGGTAATAAGCCTGGTATGACTTAATATTTATATTGCAGTTGTATACATACATGTAAAGTCACCCTCCCTACGTGATGTGCAATCTCTGTTTTCTATTCGAAGGAGTAGACTAAAATTGAAAAAATATTTTCATAACAACCAAATAATCTAGGAGACTAATCAACACACACAAAATATTTATTTTGTTTGAAATATAACAGCTTGCTTAAGTAAAATCCATTCCATATAAGAGCAAAAAGCAAAATCATTCACAATTTTAGGTAATAAGTTAATAGCCTGACTTTCTGCAGACAAATATATATAAAGGAAATTCAAAGCAATTGCATCATCGAGATATGTCATTTAAAAACATATCATACCATACACAAGATGGAAAACTAAATATGGTAAGAATAGTGAAGGGGACCCAATATCCCCTCAAAAAGCCTAGGAGCAAGATCAAAAGCCTACACACTCTACAAATAAAATTAATGCTAACCAAATGAAAGAACTTTATGTTATTAAACACATTAAGAGGAAACAAAATCAATAAACTACAGCCTCTATTATGCCCAAATTTGATCATTACTCAAGTATATAGCAAACATGAGGTTAAAAGTATAGTACCTGAGATTCAGTGAACTTAACACCTTGACCAGCTGAAAGACCTGCAAGATCATGTTCCATATATTCAAACACCAAATAAAGACTACATGACATTCTAGAAGTAACCAATCCTTCAAGCTTTACAACATTCGGGTGATCGAGTTTCCTCAAAACAAGTATCTCTCTTGCCATAAACTTGACACTCTCTGGCTCTAAATTATCAAATCTCACTTTCTTCAAAGCCACAATCTTCCCTGTAATAAGGTCCCTAGCTTTGTACACATTACTATACGTCCCTTGCCCAATCTAAACAAAAAACAAACACATTAACACAGATTCAACAAAAATCGCATCGGTTTCTGAAACGGAAATGGAGTTAAACGAAGCATGGAACTTGGAAGTAGTACCTTAGCAAGCTTTTCAAACGTGTTTGCACGACGAGGAGTCCAATCGCCGATTGCTTCACCAGCAACAGCCATCAACCACGACGGCCAACCCTGCTGATTCACGGCACACGGATCAAGCATAGGTTTCCGGTGCTCCAGCGCCGGAAGATTCCCCGGAAAATCTCCAGTATGACGATTCGTTTGCTTCTCTTTAACCCTAACGACATTATTTCTTCCTTCAGAAGACTCCTTACGCTGTTCTCTCCGTCGACGACGTTGATCTCCGTCACCGGCCGCCGTCCCAAGCACGCAACCCATCCGTTAGATGAGGCAACGCGCAGTAACGGCAACAGAGGTAGAAAAACACATGAAACCAAAGAAAAAATAGTTCGGTAGAAAATCGCCGTCGTGTGCGGCGGCGATAACGGTGGTTTCTAAAATGAGTGAAAAGCAGAGAAAAAGTTTATGAACTTTCGGTTAAAAAGTTAGAGTGAATGAGAAAGTAATGAGTAGAGAAGTGTTGAAGAAACGACACGCCAAGAGATGAAATCACGAAAATGCCACTGCGTCTGAAAGTCTGAGCTGGTGTTGTCAGTTAAATGGTGGCTGTGGCTATGAGAGAGAAGAAACTCCAAAACCACATGACGTCATTTGATTTTTTTAACCAAAAAGGTTGAAATTTTATTGCCCTTTCTTTTTCGTAGAAAAATAAATTTCTTCCACTACTATGATATTTGTTGATATTTGACTTTATGGTTTGAATTGAATTTATCTACTACGTAAATCCTTTTCATGAATTTAGGTGTGATTATTTAAGATTGGAATTAATGGACTAGTACCAATGCTGAATGTAGTTAATGGTTTTGAATTCAATTCTCAAATTTCAGATTCGAGATTTTTCATCAAATCTGACACATGAGGTTACTTCCAACTACCATGTCTTGTGTAATAAATATTACTTACACCATATGGAGTAAATTTGCATTTATTGCTCTAAACAAGGGGTGAGAGATGACATGAAAATGTTGAGGATAAAGTTACCAATTATATTCTCAGTTGGACAGAGTTTGGTATCAAACACATTAGTAATTTTATTAATATTTTATTTTATTAAAGTTAACATTGATTTTACTATTATATATCCAAAAGTAAATTTTAAATTAGATTTAATTCACCGGTTAACTAAATAAAAATGTTAACTATAAAATGTTAATTATTAGAATAGATTTAATTTAAAGTACATGATTTTGAACTAAGCATTTGGACTCGAGTGATAATCGAGTGTCTGTTAAGGAATGAAGATTCGGAAAATATTAAATTTGATTTCTGATGGAAATAATATTTGATCAATGTTATAACTTTTTTATACGAATTTTAGATTACTATGATTTCATTCTCTTAAAAAACAGAGTACAAAAAATAATATATATATATATATATATATATATATATATATATATATATATATATATATATATATATATATATATATATATATATATATATATATATATATATATATATATATATATATATATATATATATATATATATATATATATATATATATATATATATATATATATATATATATATATATATATATATATATATATATATATATATATATATATATATATATATATATATATATATATATATATATATATATATATATATATATATATATATATATATATATATATATATATATAAATTAAAGGTATGTAAAAGTGAATTTAAAATAATAAAAGATTAATGGTCAAGTCTATTATAAATGATAAGCAAGAGTTTATATATGCATAAAATTAATTAACTAGCTATTAGACCTTTATTTTTACTTTTGTTTTTAGAATTCTAGATTTTTTTTTATGTTTTTAAAATTTTTATATAATTGGCCTTTGGTTAATGAAAAGTTTTTTTTATCTCTTTAAATATTTTTTATTTCTGATAAAGGGGGAGAAAGTGATATGATTTTGATATATCTATTCTCAGAATCTTGTTCCCGAATATGTTCTGGTATTTTTTCCACTAACATTATTTGACTCAGGAACTTTGAAAAAGTTCACTGAATTTTTCTTAACAGGCAAACTTGAAAGGTCTAAAGGAGATTCATAAGTCATGGGTTATTTGTTCTTTGTGAAAGAATTTTCAACCAGACTCTGAAGGTTTGTCAAGTTCAACCAGACTTTGTTACATCATCGTCTTCTGATAGCAGCCATAATTTGAGATAAAGATTTCTACATCGCTAGTCAAATTTTTGATAGTTTTCAATCAGGGAAGTATTCCTTCGTTTTGATTAATTCATGTTATTTTCTCAAAACTTCTTTAAGTCTTGAACTCAGGGGGAGACTTTGAACAAGATTAAACAAGTTCTGGGAATATAGAACTCAGAGGGAGCTGTTTAGCTATACTCTGAATTATTTTTATGTGATTAAACCGGTATAAATTGTTTATCAAAATACATGGTTTTGTAATCATCAAAAATGAGGAGATTGTAAGAACAAGAGTTGATTCTGCATCTGGCCTTGAGTTTTGATGATGATATTACATAGGTGATTAAATAACAATTTAGTACTTTAATGGTTTGTATAATGTGTAGCTTTTGCTAATAGGTTTTGAATCTGAAGATTTAACGAGTGACGTCATTAGATTCTGAACTCAACACACTAAGAGATACAAGTGTGTGTGTGTGTGTGTGTGTGTGTTATTGCTTAGAACGCTTCTTAAAACAACGATTCTAATGAATGTTAGTTTTATTGATTCTAATTGTGACTCTATAGTAGAGCTTCTGAAGGGTTCTCAAGCTCTGAAGATTCCAAGCTCTCTTGCTCCAAGGTTCTGAAGACTATAAAGACAAGGTTATGCTGATCAAGTTCTGAAGACCAACGGTTCTGAAGATTCTGAAGATAAGGTTTTGATGAACGAGTTCTAAAGATTCTGAAGATAAGGTTTTGATGAACGAGTTCTAAAGATTTTGAAGATACGACTCTAAAGATCAACATGTTGAAGACTCTGAATACAAGCTTCTGTTGAATAAGTTCTGAAGACTCTTAAGACCAAAGGTTTTGAAGACTGGTTTTTATCCTTCTAAGCATACTTCAACTCTTACATACTATGAAGCCTTTGAAGATTAGAATGGAAGATCTAAAGTCTCACGTGAAGTGATAGTACAAAGTCATATCCTTCCATTATAATGTTTTTGTGGCGCAAAGACTGTACTATTGGTACTATATTGTCTGCCACTCACGTTGATTGTTGCAAGAAGACAATTGGAATTTTGGTATTCTTATTCTACCCTCTAACAGATTTCTTTTTTCCTATAAAAGTAAGACTTGGAAGAATTGGAATAGTTGAACAACTTTGAAGAAACTCACGTTAATTCAAATTGATGAAACACTGCCAAAATAACTCGGTAATTTTTGTAAAGTAAGGAACTTTTATTTATTAACTTGCTAGCAAGTAACTTTTATTTGCTAAATTGCTTAACATTGTTGTGTTATTATCTCTTCTTCATTTCCACGTAATCTGCTTTTGAGAAGCATCATTGTAAATGTTACACCCCAAAATTTACCCTCTTGATTTAGGCTTATGTTTCATCATGAATATCATATTGCATTGCATTCATACATTGTGATAGGATCAAAATACTTTGGTTATCAAGTCTTCCTCAAGCTTTGAAGGTTGATTGCATTGACAAGTTGCTCAAGTAGAACCTTGTCATCTAAACCTCTGGATTTTCAAGCTCAGAAGTTATTACATATCTCAAGATGTTTTATCCATATCTTTGGATCATCAGAGGATTTGAAGTTTTGGAGATGATTCATCAGTCTCCTAAAGTGTTGACCAAAACTAGGGTTTGGGATTTCATCAAGATTTCTTGAGAATTTTGAAGTGAAACTTTGTACATGGCCTCTATATGTTTGAAAGATCATATGTTTGAAGTTTTGATCATCAATTTTGAAGGGAAGTGGATCAATTGATTCAGAGGGGCAAAATAGTCATTTTGGTCAAAATCAGTTAGAGTCAAGGTTGACAAAGTGAACTTTTGGCCAACCATCAATTCAAGGATGTACTTTTCATATTTCAAGTCCATTTTGATCATTGGATCAAAGAGATTGAGGTTTGGGTTGAAACTTGTTCATGAAGAAACCCTAAAAGTTTCTAAATTTTGGAAAATAAGGACTTAATTTCAAAATTTCACATTTTATTCACCTTTGATCAAAAAAATGCAAATGAAACATGCTTGAAAAGATAAGAGAATGATATTTCATCTCCTTTTGGTCTCATGTCCAAATTGGCAAGGAATCAATGATTATGGTCTTTGGAAGTCACAAAATTATAGGTCATTTTCCAAAATTAGTGAATTTCAAGCTCAATTTTGAGAAACTTAATGGATTCAATTGCAAAAACTCAAAACTAAGGGATTGTAGATCCTTTCAATACCTTTCCAAATTGTACTCATTTGTGTCAAAATTCAAAAGTATGAGCAAGTTGTGGACCTTGGAATTTGGAGGTATTTCATTGAATTCATGCATACCATGCAAATTGCAAATTCTTGATAACTTGATTTGTGGCCATTTATTTCACTTAAAACTTGTCCCATGACTACTATGCAATGTACCAAGGCCCATCACGCCAAAGTTTGAGCTGCACATGGGCAAATGCAAGGGCAACTCGTGATTTTGCAAAAAGTGGCATGAAAATGCCTAATCACCAACACTTGCTTAATACAAGGATTTAAGCCTTAATTCTTTTTCTAATCTCTTCCTGAGATAAAATGGATTGAAATGCACGTAAAATGCAAGCAAACACGCGAGGGATTTGAGGGCTGCATGTACACACTTGATTTTGGCAAAAAGAGGAATTCATTCTTTCTAACAGTTTTCAGTGTGAAAAACCTATCCTACCCTCCTTTTCATGCTCTATATATTGAGAAGCAAGCCTCATTGAACATGGTTCGTGCTTCATTTCATCCCTGAATTCGAAAAACTCCATAACTACTTGTTCTGCATTTTTTCTTCGATTCTCTCAATTCCCTTGCGCATTTTGGTTGATTCTTCTTGCATTCTCTTCTCCAAGTGATAAGGATTGTAGATCGAGGCTTGGTTTGCAACTGGAGTGAAGAAAACAGTAGATTTTTTTTTGCCTCAAAGGTTTGAATTCTTAACTTTGGATCTTGATTTCTAGTCGTGCATTGTGTGATTTGAGTTCATAATCATGTTGTTTGAAGTTCATTAAGTGTTTCTGTAGCTTCAGAGCTTTTAATTTGATGAGATATGCATGAATGATGCATCTGAAATTTTTCTGTTCAGTGA